GCCGCCCCGGCCGCCTCCGCCCAGCGCTTTGTGGAGCGGGAGCCGGAGCCGAGTGACAGGCGCGGCCTTTCTGCGCCCCGGACCCTGAGTGCGGCTGGCGCCGGCGTACCTGTGGCTGCCGGGCCGGCTGGCCGGCCGGGAAGTGCCACGGGGTGGGCCGCACGGGAGCGGGCTTCGAGCCCCGAGGTGGGGGCCGGGGTAGCTGGGAGCTGCCCCACTGGGGCGGGGAGGGGCTGCCCGGGAGGAATGGGACAAAGTGAAAGTCTCCAGACTGCTAAGGAAATGAGGAGGAGGCGGTGAGGGGCATCGGGAAGAAGGGAAGGGTGCCGATGATTCTTTATTTGGTGCCCTGGCTTGGCTTTTAATGACGGCGATGGCGGGGCAGGCCAGCTGGGGTTTCGGCTCCCATTGGGCGTCCGCGGTATCGATGCCTTGCTGGTGAATTTTTCGGACTAACGTAAGGGCCTTTTAACCCTCTAGGGTGCCTTTCTGGAGAAAGGGCTCCAGGTTTGGTTGTTTTTCCCCTTCTGCGCGACACTCTGGGAAGCTTCGTTCTCATGTGGAAGGCAGTTGTGCTGTTTTATAGAAATACGGAGTATACTTGTTGTTTATACCTTCGTGGACCAGTGCGGAGACTGGTGGCACAGAGGGCACAGATTGCTTCTTAGTCTCAGACACAGGATGTCCTTCTTCTAAACCTGTCTAGTGTGTGGCTGGGGTTCTGATGCAGGCTGTCCGGGGCCTGCCCTGGCCGTGGATCTTAGCTGTGATGCAAGTGTTCCGCCAGCCTCACCAATATTCCCTAGCTGAGACTTTTTCGTGGTTGTTATTGTGCTGCTTGCAGATATCTTTACTTTGCTGGCATCCTGTTTTGTTTTTGGTTTTTATATCCCATTTGTTGTTTCTTTTTATCACAGAAACGCTTCGTTAAGGGGCTCAGGCAGTACGGCAAGAACTTCTTCAGAATTAGAAAGGAGCTGCTTCCCAATAAGGAAACAGTGAGTACAATTGGACTTTATGTAACTTGATTTTTTCCTCGTTGCTCCTGCTGCTTCTCTGCACTTGATCTTGTGAAATGGTTTCCTTTAACCCAGCGCTGTGCTCAGACTCTGGCTGGTGTCTAGGATCCTATTCATTTTACTTCCTTCACTTTTAGTTTTAGCTCATGATTTTAGATGGTAAAGTGACAGATTATGCTTATCCCCCTAGAAGAAGGTGGACTTATGTTGTAAGAACAGAAAGGTCTTTGGCAACAGAGGGTTGGTTGGGGGGGTGGGGGTGGTGTCTGGGATGTTGGGGAGTTAACATCTAATTTTAAATACAGTGAATGAAATAGGAAATGTCATTTATCACTAGCTTGGATTTGGTTATTGACAGAAGTCATCAACCAAACGATAGAATTAAGAGGTTTGTGGCTCACTATACTTTGGATTTTGTTGGGGCTTTTTCTTTATTTAATGTTGCTATGTTTTGAAGAGTAGTTTTAACTCGTTAATTTTCCATCCCTAAAAGTTTGCACTTTTCATTGGACAGATACACAAGGATTCTTATAAATTGCTTAAATGAGGCTATTAAAAAATTACTTTGATATTTCACAAAGCTGAGAGTCAGATCTGATGCGTACTGAACCTGGGGTGGGAGAGTTTGCTGGGGAAACTTCAGAGTGAAGTTATATGAAGAGAATGCTAGCAAGGGATTTGGTCTCATTTACCTATAATTTCCTACAGGTGGTATTGGAGGAGGGCGGGAGAGAGTCCTTCTGGCAGCCAAGGAAGAGAGGAGCCTGGGAGGGGAGTAGGACCAGCCACTTCCCTGTGTCTGCTCGAAGCGGAACCCCATAAGCAGCAGTGCTCTTCAGGACTTGGGGATGGGGGGTGAATAGTTAGACGTGGAGCTACTTTTTTAGGGGGGGGTGGAAGGAGGGAGTGAAAGGAGGAGATAGATGAAGAATATCGTTTATAAAAGCAGGTGGGCTGTTTTGGTTTGGTTTTTGGTTTTCTAATTAGATGTTTATTGAGTTCCTCTTATCCAATTTTCATTCTTTTATTCTGAGGTGTTTTAGTGAACTATTTCTGGGCATTTTCTGTATAGTTACTTATGAACAGTGATAACTCATAATAGGGAAGAAGGGTTCTGAGGTTTCAAGTACAGCCTCGTATTAGTTGGTGGTTTGCATCAATCAATCATAATTAGATTAAACTTTTAATATTTATTATACATCTAAATATGCTGAGATGGGTCGTTTTGAGAATGGTAAAAAAACTGTTTATAGAGATTAAACTAAAATATATTATGTAATCAACTTATTTTTTGCTCTTTCCAGAACAGATTGGAAAGAGGTATTTAATGTGGAACAGTGAAAGAAATGATTTAACCTAATGTGATGGGCCAGATTATAACCTCTCAACTCAAGTTTTATCTATCCCTGTGCTCTGCTAAAAGTTGCAAACCATGAAGAATTTGATATGATATTGCTCGACAATTATTTTATCTTTCTGTTTATTAACTTATAATAGCAAGATTAAGCAGTAAATCTAAAATCTATCTAGCTTTTGGAAATGCCAGACAATTTTATCTAGTGTTTTATCTCTCCAGTGGAAATGGGTCTGAATAACCTTTAACCTAGGTCAGGGTCTTCTAATCTGTTTTTCTTCTTGTTGTTGGTTGTCGCCTGTTTTTATTGATGATGTCTGACTCAATACGCAGCCTTTTCTCTCCCACAAAGAAGTTCTTAGTACACCAAACTTTTGAGCTGGTTCTCTGGTCTTTTATAGGTACGTCTTTCCTGAGACCCTTCCCCATCACTTCTCTCCCATCCCTGTTTCCCAGCCATGTGGCTCCTCTCCTCACTTCTCCTCTGGCACCAGCAGTCTTCCTGTTTCCAGCCTCTTCATCAGGGCATGAGAATTAGAGCTAATGGGAGAGTTTGCAGCTCTGGAGGATGTATTATGGCTGACATTGGTTAAGTGTTCCTAGTGTCCTGCTGTCTTTTGCATAGAATTGGAGGAGTTTGGTAGTAGGGTAAATCTGTAAATATTCTAATCAGCTGGGAGAGGCACTCGTATTTTCCTTAGTTATCAACATAGCCAAGCTAATCATTCACAACTCGTAGGGAGGGGAGGGGAAAGGTTATTTTTCATTTTTGCTGCAGAAGATGAGAAAATTTGCAGGTACCAGTGTTCTTGGTTCAAAACTTCCTTGGTAGGAATCTTCATATGGTCATGCCTCTTTTTATAGCAAATCCCTCTAATGTAGAGACTTTCCACATTATCTTCTATTTACCAGAATTATTAACTCATTTCTTTGGTATTCTCAACTGACTTGAAACTTCAGAAGGGTGTCAGCATCCAAAAGCTGTACACGCCTGATTGGGCATGGGCGCGAGGGTCAGCAGACCTGTGTTCTATTCTTGGCCTCACTGGTAACTATAATACTTGATCTCTTTTAACTGTGCAGTCTGCTTTGAGCTGTTCATTGGGAATTTCAGGTCAAATCCTGACAAGGACTGGGAAATTATTTTCTCTAAAATGGTATTTCTTTACATGAAAATTTTATAGGTGCTACGATCTTTATAAAATATTTGCACATCTGAGGCTATTGCTGGGCCTGAGAGCAAAGTGATGGTTCTTGCCTCCTCTGCCACTTACAGCTGTGGGGCCTTAGGCAGATTATTCAACCCTTCTGTCCTTTAATGTCTTTGTCTGTAAAATGAAGTGATCTTTCTACCCCTTAGAGTTGTTTTGAGAATTTAAATGAGATAATGTGTATGAAGAATATATAAAAACACTTGAAAATGATTGATTTTCCCCTCTACCCCAAACACTACATAAAGTAGCTAAATGCTATGAAAAGCACAGAATTATTTTCCATTTGTAAACATATTGAACTTATATAAAAAGATATTACCTATTTTTCTTCAACATATCTTGCCAAAAACCCTTTCAGTTGAGGGGGTGGAGGGCAATGCCTAGTTTTAAGGATGTATTTCCTCTCTCTTGAAGCTTTGTTGAGGAGACTTCGATTCTTACCACTTCATTCGATGCAGCAGTGCAAAGGTTCCTGGTGGGCATGGGCAGAAACAGCTTTCCTAGCTCTTTTGGTTTCTGGTGGTTATTACACAGAAGCTAAATCTGGCTTTCTCTGAACACTGCTGCCCACTGAAGTGGGAATAGTGGCTGTGATTGTGGAAAACCAACTGTTTATAGAGGTTTCGTTGAGTGGGTATTACATGTTAACCTCTTGGTACCCAAGAGAATAAGTGCAAGTCGGATATTTTAGTATCATGGTCGTACAAATATCCTGTAGTTTACGTATGATCTTTCTCCCCGTTCTCCCTTTCTCTATAACCGTTTGCCTCCCTCAGTATGCTTATAAGATGTATAATTAGTAGTGAAATATGGTAAGGAATCTTTGCTGAGCATCTCAGATTCCCCTTGGCTGTATACCTCTTCTCTCTCAAGACACTGTTTGGCCTAAACGACATCAGAGTCTTGGGTGTTAGTACATTTGTATAAATCACAGTGCGTGTCCCATAGCTGAGCCTCTGAGAAGATGGTGGGGAACCACACCTCTTGGGTTCTGCTTTAAGTACTGCCACGTAGTCGTTGGGTCTATGAATTACAGGACTTTTGATGTTAAGGTAATACCTGAAAAAACAGAAGACCTAATAGAGTTGAAACTTAATTACCAGGAAGGGAACCCATGTTATGAATAATAGAAAATCATGGGTGTTCCAAAAATAATTTTTCATTTGATTTTTACACACATTGCAGTTTTCTTCAAAATCATGAGATGGTTACTCAGGTGACAGTGACATATATCTTCTTTCACACTAAGAATATGTCTCTGTTGTTTGAACCAAAGACTTTCCGTGTCTGATGCCTGGGTGATTGTCCCTTGAATGCTGGCTGGCCTTTGTGTATAGTTCTATCTGCTGTTATTCAGACAAATTCAACCAGCACTGGATTGTAGAGAGGGAGTACTTGCTCAGTGACCTGTCTCAGATGCAACTGACATTAGTGAGAAGACAATTTGATCTGCCCCGACTTGGTAGAGAAGAGAGGTACCCGCAGAATGTTAGCCTCTGGAGGGAGAAGGTGAAAAGGCTTACACCCTTGACCATCTTTCTTATCTCTGTAGTTTTATTTTCGAGCACTTAGCCCAACAGAAATTAAGTTCATGTTATTTGTAAAGTTGCTGGTGGGTTAATATTTACTGTACTAGAAACTCGTTTTCACTCACTTGCCATTTTCAGAGCTAAACATTCCATATAGTTCAATTTTAAAAAAATTTTCGTGCTCCTTGAGCCCTGTAATGGGTGGGATGTCTGTAAAGAGAAACAAGGTGCCATCCGTCCCCCACAGGGAGCTGGCGTTACAATGGGGAAGATGAACCATTTGCATGCCTGTCATGTTTGGCAGTATTTGCCAAGGGCCATGGTGGAGGTTTAGACCCCACAAAGTGAGTAGAGAGGCTGGGGGCTTCTGGAAGGCTAATTGGAGGGTGTGGTGTTTGAACTGAGCTTTAAAGGAAGGATATCTTTTTTGACAGGCTGTGGTTGGGAGGGTGGAGGAGAAGTGACTTTCCAGCTGTAGGAAATATCATGAGCTGAGGCGTGGAGACAGGAAATTGCAAAACGTGCCCAGCAAGTAGATTAGTGTATTGGAGAGAAGGTTGCATGAGCGGATGCAGTAGGTTTTAGGCCAAATTTATGGCTTGGAGGTAGACTTTGGGGGACCTAGAGTGTGTTTGGGGACCCATTGAAGGCTTTTAAAAGGAGAAGTGAGAGCATCTGAGCTGAGCTACAGGAGGGTTCTTGAGCAGCATGAACAAGATGGAGAGCAGAGAGGAGGTTCTTGTAATAAGTCAGTCTTGTAGTAAGGCGGAAAATGGGAGGGCCGGCCCCGTGCCTTAGCGGTTGAGTGCACGTGCTCCGCTGCTGGCGGCCCAGGGTCGGATCCTGGGCGCGCACCGACGCACCGCTTCTCCCGCCATGCTTAGGCCGCGTCCCACATACAGCAACTAGAAGGATGTGCAGCTATGACATACAACTATCTACTGGGGCTTTGGGGGAAAAAATAAATAAATAAAATTAAAATTAAAAAAAAAAAAAGACGGAAAATGGGGAGTTGAAAGTGATTTGTGGAAATGGAAGTCTGCCTTTTATCTTGATTTTCTCTACTGAAAAGGTGTCACTGTTTTTTGAGTGGGACCAAGAGCCCAGGGAAGGGGCAGTGATGGGTTTTGATGTTTTGGGTGATAGGATGAAAAGTATTAGAGATTTAAAATTTTAATTTAAGAAATAACAAGAAAATCAAGCACCCTTCTCACCCACATTTCTGGGAATGAATTCTGTTAAATATGTACATAACTACTGAATATTAATTGTTCATTTCTTCAGGCAAAATATCTTTTGCATAGAGCATATTCCTCCAGCAAAGAATAACTGCTGTTGAGAAAGGGCTCTAAGATTGAGTAATCAAGATTCTGTTAAGATTCTGTTAATATTAAGAGGTAAAAAATGACTGTAGCATTCAATATGAGCTTTCAGCGTGAAGTTTTATTTAACTTCAGATTATAACCTTAGATAAACAATTTTCCAGCCTCATTAATGCTTAATCTAATGTTACATAACAAAGTATGGACTTCCTGAATAGCTTGGTACTATTGAGGATACAAATGTGTTATAGCCGCATAACAATACTTGAGAAAGTCTCTGGCTTTAAACCTAGTGTCTCTAATGCAAATACTGTATATCCTCGCTGCTCACAGTGTGGTCCTCATACCAGCATTGTCACCATCGCCTGGAGCTTGTTAAAATTACAGACTCTTAAACTCCTGTGCATTGCTGTTGAACCATAATCTGCATTTTAATGCAGGTGATTTGAATGCACAGTAAAGTTTAGGAAGCACTGCTGTTTACAGTAATGCAAACTTGCAAAATCCTAAGCCTCTATGTCACATTCATTCTTAATATAATGTTGTTTTTATTGTGTTAAAAGTTGTAAATTGTTTCACTGTTAGGACTTGAGGGCTTGATTTTGTTTTTCAAATTGTCACAAAGTATTTCAAACGTAAGAAAAGTCTCTGGGATTATTTTCATTATCAGTAATAGAATTTCTTAATATAGCTTCCTTCTTCCCAAAATCTCCCATTCTCGTTTTTTTCCTAGAAACACATTGTAACTCGTGCGTATTTAATAGAAAAACTGGTGTCCTCCTCTTTATCGTGTGACTTGCAGTCATAGTATGTGAATCAGGCTAGGCTAGACCCTATTTAAGTTTCTAAAGGAAACCTTTTTATTTGAAGGGATGACCTTCTCTTATTAATATGAAGTTTACATATTTAATATTACTGTTTTCAGGTGTTACCTACTTTCACTGGCACCTCTCATATATGAAGAAGAAATATAAATATTTTAAGAGGTTGGCAAGATTGGGTACAAGGAGAGACATGTGCCATACGTTTTCTCTTAATAACTTGTCCTTGAGTAGATGCAGACA